TCAACTATCCTAAAGAAACAACACAATGAAATAAGAGAAAGTGTGTCAGGCCAAAATTCTAAAAGGAATATAATTGCAGGCCTGACATCCTGCATTAAACAGGAAATCCGGCTGGGTGACTTTGGGCCAATCATCAAGTGACGGTGAGTTCCTGAGTCAATCCCCAGGTTGCAGTGAATTCTAGTCCTCTTTTATCCATGAGAGCCGTCTGGGTGACTTTGTCCCAATTGCCAGGAGATGGTGAATTCTAGTCCCATTTTAGCCATGAAAGCCAGCTGATACCTTTGGGCCAATCACTAGGAAACGGGAGAGTTCTAGTCCTGAGCCAGTCACCAGGTGACGGTGAGTTCTAGTCCTACCTTAGCCATGAGGGCCAGCTGGGGGGCATTGGGCCAATCACCAGGAGACAGTGAGTTCTAATCCTGCCTTAGACACCAAAACAGCTGGAGACTTTGGGCCAATCACTAGGAGAGAGTGAATTCCAGTTCCTCCTTAGGCGTGAAAACCAGCCGGGTAACCTAGGGCCAAATTCCTAGCAGACAGGGAATTCTAGTCCCACCTTCGACCCAACAGCGAGTGGTTTGGTTTTCAACCCAACCTCCCTCGCAGGGCCGTTGTGCTGGGATAACAGCAGGAGGAAAACACATTGCTTATATTCACCGCCTCGAGTTATTTGCAAAACGCAGAAAGTTTTTTGTCGGATGCAAATCCATAATTAAGCGGCAGACCTCCACGGTTTTTCAATAATATATTTATTTTCTCTTTACATACAGTTTGTGCTTTTAGTGTACATCGTACTGTCTGAGTCAATTTGTTTACATAATAATCCTTTTTTAACACCCTAATTTCTACCTCTGTTATCCAACCTTGGATAAAACAAGTCCCAAATTCGGAAGTTTTCTGCGTCTTGTTTTTCTTTAATTTTCAGTGTTTAGTCTGTCCATTTCTGCACCGTGTTAATATTTTTTTTTTAAATTATGCCTTCTTCTGTTGACATTTCCTCGTTTTTCCAATATTGTGCAAATACAATTCTCTTGCTGTGGTCAAAACATGTCATATCAAATATGCGTACCCTTTGTCCTCTTTTTCTAGTATTATGTCTAACAAACACACTATATTGCCAAAAGTATTCGCTCCCCCATGCAAATAATCAGAATCAGGTGTTCCAATCCCTTCCATGGCCACAGGGGTATAAACTCAAGGACCTAGGCATGCAGACTGTTTTTTACAAACATTTGTGCAAGAAGGGGTCGCTCTCGGGAGCTCAGTGAATCCCAGCGTGGAAGTGTGATAGGATGCCACCTGTGCNGAGGAGGAGAAGCACCATCCAGAATCATCATCGTCAACTTTCAACGACCCCATAATCCCTTGCAGGGTGGAGTCTGGACAGCTGAATGGAGCTAGCTGAGAGTTTTAATGGCCCGATGCCCTTCCCTGTCGCCGATGGGGAGTTTTGTTCAGCCGCTATATATCTTCATTGTGCCCAGAGAGAGAAATATCTGCCTCTCCCGAGGGTCAAACTCATAGCCTGGTGATTGGGAGGCGAGAGCTCCCCTTCTAGGCCACCCCACCACTCCAAGCACCATCAAGAGTGCTAGCTCAATTTTGCTGTACAGCGAGTCCCCAACTTACAACGGTTCATTTACTGACCGTTCAAAAGTTGCAACGGCATTGAAAATAGGGCCGTGTTTCACACTTAGCGACCGTTGCAGCATCCCCGTGGCCATGTGGTCGAAATTCAAATGCTTTGGCAACTGATTTGTATTTATGACAGTCACAGCGTCCTGGGAGTAGGTCACACGATCCCCTTTTGCGACGAGCAAAGTCAGTGTGTGTGGGGGGGGGCGGTTTGGCTTAACAACCATGTTATCAACTTAATAACTGCAGTGATTCATTTAACAACCGTGGCAAGGAAGGTCGGAAAATGGGGGAAAACTCGCTGAACAACTTCCTTGTTTAGCAACGGAAACATTCGGCTCCGTTTTGTGGTTGTAAGTCGAGGACTTACCTGTAGTAACAATATCTTGGAAATCTGATCTCCTTTTACTCATCGTAAAACTAGGGGGGGGTCTCTTCTCAAATTCTTCCCCCATCTTCTTCTCTCCTCCTGCGGACATTAACAGGTTAACAGAGTTGGAAGGGACCTTGTAGGTCATCTATTCCAACCCCCCCCCAAGCAGGAGAGCCTACACTATTTCTGACCGATGGCAGTCCCGTCTCTTCTTGAAAGCTTCCAGTGATGGAGTTCCCACAACTTCTGAAAATAACATTTACACACCCTTCGTTCAGTTTGTCGGTCTCCCGAGGCCATTCGCACACACCATCCCATCCATCCTTGGCCACTAACATTCCCCAAATGTCTTTAATGCTAATCTCGCAGCCAGACCACCTTACAAGGTTGTTGTTACAGGGAACAGAAATGATTTCCCTGCTTCCTTCAGCTCCTGAATTTTAATGCAGGATTAAAAAAAATCTTGCAAATCAAATACAATTTTTTTTAATTGGCCCGCGCGCACACACACCCACACACACACACACACACACACACTGCTTTGGGAAAGTTGGTATTGTAGGAAGCCAGTTTGGTCTAGTGGTTAAGGCACCAGGCTAGGAAACAGGTGAGTGTGAGTTCTAGTCCTGTCTTAGGCATGGAAAACGGCTGGATGACTTTGGGCCAATCACTAGGAGATGGTGAGTTCTAGTCCTGTCTTAGGCATGGAAAACGGCTGGATGACTTTGGGCCAATCACTAGGAGATGGTGAGTTCTAGTCCTGTGTCAGCGTTCCAAGTATCATGTAGAAT